TACAAATACTTGAGCACCTACCCATACGTACGGTTCGAAAGAAAGTTCATTATAATACAAAGCACTTAATTTAGTAATTCATTTGCGCGATATTTGTTCAGCGATTTACAAATCAACTCATCCGAAGATGCAATCGACTAGATCAACCTAAAGACTAAATATTATTATCGATTATCGATTTCGATATGAATGATCACGCCTTAAAAATAAACAAAAATTAATGTCATCAAAATTTGTCAGTACCTAATCGAGATACGCTGTGGACCTACCGCGAAATGCGAGTGAAACTTACTAAATAGTATATGTTTCACAGCGTAGTTAAGTCTCACGGTAGTTGCACAGTATTAAACTATTGAGCATATTAATAAACAAGGCAGTCAACTTATAAAAATATCAAAATAAAAATGCTATTTTGAGTATAGTGAGATACTGTCAAAGAATAAAATTACTAGCGAAGCTTTACGCGACGAAACCCTTGCGAATTCGTCAAAAAACTAAAATTCGATTAAGTAATAGCTACTTAGGATAATCTAATAATCATAGTGGTAATAATAATAAACAATTACATTGATTTTTGGAAAAATATTGCAAATTCAATCACATTAATTAAAATAAACGTTACACGTTGTTTAAACTAATATGAATTACTAAAAATAAATGTCACACTCTGTCATTTGTTTAAAATTATGATGTTAACAGACAATCGGCGTATTTTGTACAAATTAATAAGTCGCAAGAGTTTTGGGCGCAGCTTCCTCGACGCTGTTCAAAGCCACAACAATACAGTTGCATTTCATTTGCTAATTATTCGTTACAATTTCTATGTACCACATACATATCAAAAGAAAAATAACTACAAACTAAAAATAAAAATGCTTTAGACGAATACATCGTAGGCCTTTAGTAAATCTTTAAGATAACAGGAAGACAAAATAAGTGATCAAAGAAAAAATTTTTCGTATTGCACCGATATTATAGAAGTATAAAGACATGAGAGTCTTCGATGGATACACATTAGTATTATTTTTCAACGGCAAAGCGTCTAGTTTGATATGTGTCAACAACCGAAAATAAATTAAAAAGGAACAATCAAATCATGCGCAATGCTCACAATTACTGTACTTCGCGTCAAACATAACAAATACCTATGGTCAGATACAATATAGGTATTCAACTACATAAATGATAATGTATAAACCATATACATCACAACATACACTATGCTATTCACAAAATAAAATATAGCATAGCACTTAAAACTAGCGAAAGGCCATGTATCTATCTACCCTTACATCCTTTAAGAATTCCAATTTTAAGGTCACTGTTTCGTTACAACTTCTATATCACTTGACAATGAACTAACACGATTGTAAACTTAAAGTCGAATTGTAAAATTAAGATTAAAACAAAAAGTAATTTGATTCCGTAGAAAATTGTTACACACATTAATAGTTTCGCTTACACTACTTGTTTTCGAGAGTGAATTTTTCGCTATATTACTTATATAAAAATTCGCTCGTGTGTCGCGCGCCGGCGCACCGGACGGGCTCAGAAACTTGTACTAAATTATATTCATACATTACATTTGATGCGGAAATGTGATTCGAACTTTTCGTCCGAAATACGTATTCCCAGTACAGTCTAAATATAATTCGTAATCGCTTCATTCAGGGGCAAATTCAGTGTAAATCTTGCGCATCGCTCGGCAAGACTCAACGAATTCACATACGATCGCGAGCGTTCAAAATTCATCCCTCGAAAGCTAACATGTCGTTTTTCGGTAAAATGTTCAAAGAGTTCCCTTATCAGTGGTCGAGGTTCCTAATTCTAATCCAGACTCAGTAGGCACTAACACGACACACCCGACTCGAACGTCCTTACGTTTACGTTACATGTATAATACATAGAAAACGGTAAAATACGTTAAGTCACTCGCACAATTCCACTAGACGTCCGTTATACTTATTCATAGTCTTTATTTTATTAACTGAGATCATTTTTGCCTCTATGCACTACATCGAGTCGGTCGCCCGTGAGCCGCCGCAGTAGGAACATGACAAACGATGTGCTGCGGGCCTTCGTCGCGGCTGTGGCCTCTGCCAGGGGTCGTGACCGCTTGCCAGGGATCGTGACCGCTTGCCAGGAGTCGTGACCGCTTGCCAGGCGTCGTGACCGCTTGCCAGGAGTCGTGACCGCTTGCCAAGGGTCGTGACCGCTTGCCAGGCGTCGTGACCGCTTGCCAAGGGGTCGTGACCGCTTGCCAGACATCGTAAACGCTTGCCAGACACCGTGAACTCATGCCAGTGGTCATAACCTCTTGCCTGAATTCACGGTCTCTTGCTAGAGCTCACAACTTCGAAATTAAAGCCACAGCCGCGAGGAAGCTACCCAGGTTACAAAAGTACGACGGTACATCGACACGAAACGTCAACGAACATTCGGCTACAAGGTGAATGTTCGGTGAATTTCGGTAATAAGGCGCGGGTTTTAAAAAAATGGCGGCGGCGGTCTCATACCATTACGCGAAGCGATGGATGCTACGGAACGGTCAGAAGAGGCTATCGGTATATCATATAACAAAATGGATTATTAATTAGACTATACGCGGTTTAACATTGATTGTTAAGATCTGTGGCAGTGTTAATCTCACTATCTATTTCAATAAAAAAAACTTCCACGCTAAGCGGAACAACATCTAAAAGTACGATTATATATTTATACATATACATATAGGGTCAATAAGCTCTTCTGACCGGGTCCGTAAGGGCACGGGGGCACTCACTCGGGCACAAGTCACTCGCATGTCACTCGCAAGTCTGTCTGCAGCACCACGGTTCACTCACGCACTATTGTCACCGGGGGGGACTTTTGGGGGTCAGAGACTATTAGGTCCAGTCGATGTCACAATATGAGAAAAGGCTGAGAGAGCTGACTTGAGAAAACCTTTTTTTGAGATATTTGGAGAGGTTTATTTGTGAGCAGTCTTTCACTTTTAACTTCTAGATGGATCTACTATTTTCACATCTATATTCTGCTGACGGTGGCGATGCCAAATAATCTAGATTTATTAATTTTATTGGTTCTTATCTTCTTCCTTGGGCCGAGTTGTTGTATACAGCTTCAATAGAGCAGTGATTGCAATTTTTTTCTTTTTTGGGATGATGTTCTTCCTTTTTAGTAGACAAGTAAATTCTGATCATTGGTACGAAGGATACTATAAAGTAACATATGAATTTAGGAATTTCTTTCTAGAAAAATTTTCTTCCACGACTTGGATAGCAATGTTTGAAATTTTTCAGCGTTATCTTTACACTTTTGATTTAGCCTCTTTTGGTTAATTCATTTAAAAGCCTCTGGTTTTTAAACTAGATTCTCTCCCTTTTTTAATTTGGTTCTTTCTGGAAAGACGTAAAACCTCTGTCTGGGGGTGTCGAGAAGACATTTACTGTATCTTTATAGCTTACATTTGTCATTGTCTTTGCATTTATTTTGAATGAATTCGATCTTTTTCATTGTTGTTATAAATTCTTCAGTTTACTTCGCGTCGTTGAGGTTAAAAACCTTTCCATATTTACGAGTACATTTTTAAGGCCTCTTAAGTTCGTTATGCCTCTTCGATTTACAATATTCTTTATAAAGCCTGTATTGAGCTCTCACAAACTCTTAAGCTCTCGTAAAGGCCGTCTTAAGTTCTCACAAATGCCTTCTTTTCACAAAGTTAACAACGGTCATCTCAAGCTCTTCTAAAGGGCTTTTCACGTTTCAAGTCACAATGTACCAAGTCGGCATCACCTCCATTTAAGATCACATCATCAATGTTATAGCTCACATCTCCCATTAAAGTCCCAGTATCTCATCTTTCCCCTTCAAGGTAACATTTCAATATTATAGCTCTCACATCTAACGTAGTATCTCATCTCTCCCATTCAAGGTTACATATCAATGTTATAGCTCTCATATTTAATGTCCCAGTATCCCATCTCTCCCATTAAAGGTTACATATCAATGTTATAGCTCTCACATCTAACGTAGTATCTCATCTCTCCTATTCAAGGTTACATATCTATATTATAGCTCTCATATGTAACGTCCCAGTATCTCATCTCTCCCATTCAAGGTTACATATCAATATTGTAGCTCTCGTATGTAAAGTCCCAGTATCTCATCTCTCCCATTCAAGGTTACATATCAATGTTATAGCTCTCATATGTAACGTCCCAGTATCTCATCTCTCCCATTCAATGTTATAGCTCTCATATGTAACGTCCCAGTATCTCATCTCTCCCATTCAATGTTATAGCTCTCATATGTAACTTCCCAGTATCTCATCTCTCCCATTCAAGGTTGCCCTCACCTCTCCCTTTAATCTGACACCGTCACAGCCCTCTCCTCCCCTGCGACCCCCTACCCCCTCCCCGGTGATCAGACGAGGTGGTCGCGGTCGTCCAGCGAAGCGTCAGAATGCGCATGCGGCGCCAAGTCGCGCTCCAGGTCAAGCGAGCGCCGCTCGAGTTCTAAGCGCGCGCTGCCCGCGGTACCGGCGCCGGCGCAACGCCGCGGCGCTTCTAGGGACGACACCTGGTGGAGAAAGAACTATTTAGAAAAGAAGTACAGAGAGTTTACGTTTTGTAAGATGCGAAAAAGATCTCAAAACACAAAGGAACACAAATTCTAGAGACACCATCTCGTACCGAAAAAATTACAGTATTTTGGCATAGTCGAGTGCCGGTTGCAAGAGAAAGTTACTTTAGCTCGCATAGCTGACAGAGTCTTCCATACATGTAGTTGGATGCCGACTGCAACCAGCATTACAGGGACGACACCTAGTGGAAAAAAAGGATTCTCAAAATAGGGTTAGTTACTTTAGCTATTCTCGAACGACGACAACTGGGTGGGAAAGAGAATTTATAATAAGGGCACTTTGGCACTCTTCTTCATTCACCTTACATTTTATCAAATAAGGACCGTATGCTAAGGAAAGTCTAGATTACCTNCGCAAGTCACTCGCAAGTCTGTCTGCAGCACCACGGTTCACTCACGCACTATAGTCACCGGGGGGGACATTTGGGGGCAAGAGACTGTCAGGTCCCGTCGATGTCACAATATGAGAAAAGGCTGAGAGAGCTGACTTGGGAAAACCTTTTTTGAGATATTTGGAGAGGCTTATTTATGAACGATCTACTTTCACATTTAACTTCTAGATGGATCTATGTATGTGTACGGCGATTTTTAATTTCGTTGTTTCATTATCTTCTGCTGCCAGTGGCGATGCGAAACAAAGTGGAGTTATTATTATCTTTTTATTTATTTTTATTAGGTTCTTATTTTCTTCCATGCGCGTAGTTGTATACAGCTTCAATAGAGCAGTGATTGCAATTTTTTTCTTCTTTGGGATGATGATTTTCCTTTTTAGTAGACAAGTCAATTCTGATCATTGGTACGAAGGATAATATAAAGTAACACATGAATTTAGATACATACTTCTTTGTGGATCAGTTTTCGTCCACGATTTCGATGTCAATGGTTGCAATTTTTCAGCGTTTTCTTTACACTTTTGATTTAGCCTCTTTTGGTTAATTCATTTAAAAGCCTCTGGTTTTTAAAACTAGATTATCTTCTCTTGCCCTTGCATTTATTTTGAATAATTTTGATCTTTTTCATTGTTGTTATAAACTCTTCAGTTTATTTCGCGTCGTTCAGGTTAAAAACCTTTCCATATTTACGAGTACATCTTTAAGGCCTCTTATATTCGTTATACCTCTTCGATTTACAATATACCTTATAAAGACTGTACACTTCTAAAGGGCTTTTCACGTTTCAAGTCACAACGTACCAGTTTGGCATCACCTCCATTTAAGATCACATAATCAATGTTATAGCTCACATCTCCCATTAAAGTCCCAGTATCTCATCTCTCCCATTCAAGGTTACATATCAATGTTATAGCTCTCACATCTAACGTAGTATCTCATCTCTCCCATTCAAGGTTACATATCAATGTTATAGCTCTCATATGTAACGTCCCAGTATCTCATCTCTCCCATTCAAGGTTATAGCCCTCACTTCTCCCATTTAATCTGACACCGTCACAGCCCTCATTTGGCTGAAAAGAAGAAGAAGAAGATGTAACGTCCCAGTATCTTATCTCTCCCATTCAAGGTTACATTAGCTCACATATTTAATGTCCCAGTGTCTCATCTTTCCCATTCAAGGTAACATTTCAATATTATAGCTCTCATATGTAACGTCCCATCTCATCTTTCCCATTCAAGGTTGCCCTCACCTCTCCCTTTAATCTGACACCGTCACAGCCCTCTCCTCCCCTCCCCTCCCACCCCCTCCCCGGTGATCAGACGAGGTGGTCGCGGTCGTCCAGCGAGGCGTCGGAATGCGCATGCGGCGCCAAGTCGCGCTCCAGGTCAAGCGAGCGCCGCTCGAGTTCTAAGCGCGCGCTGCCCGCGGTACCGGCGCCGGCGCAACGCCGCGGCGCTTCTAGGGACGACACCTGGGAGAAAGAGAAGTATTTAGAAAAGAGGAACGGAGAGTTTGTTTTGTAAGATGCGAAAAAGATCTCAAAACACAAAGGAACACAAATTCTAGAGACACCATCTCGTGCCGAAAAAGTTACAGTATTTTGGCGTAGACGAGTGCCGGTTGCGGACCAAGAGCTACTTTAGCTCGCATAGCTGACGAAGTTTTCCATAGTTTAATGCAGATTGCAACCGGCATTAGAGGGACGACACCTAGTGGAAAAAAAATGATTCTTAAAATAGGGTTAGTTACTTTAGCTATTCTCGAGAGACGACAACTGGGTGGGAAAGAGAATTTATAATAAGGGCACTTTGGCACTCATCTTCACTCACCTTAAATTTTATGAAATAAGGACCGTATGCTAAGGAATGTCTAGATTACCTCAGCTTGGCGGCCCAGTAGGCGCCGCGCCCGCAGCCAGTGCAATGGGGACCCTATGGCGAGGACGTAAGGCTCACCTTGGCGAGGCGGCGCGCGTCGGACGGCGCAGGCAGGTGGAGCAGCTTGGCGGCCCAGTAGGCGCCGCGCCCGCAGCCAGTGCAATGGGGACCCTATGGCGAGGACGTAAGGCTCACCTTGGCGAGGCGGCGCGCGTCGGGCGGCCGCTAGGACGGCGCGGGCAGGTGGGGCAGCTTGGCGGCCCAGTAGGCGCCGCGCCCGCAGCCAGTGCAATGGGGACCCTATGGCGAGGAAGTAAGGCTCACCTTGGCGAGACGGCGCGGGCAGGTGGGGCAACTTGGCGGCCCAGTAGGCGCTGCGCCCCCGCAACCAGTGCAATGGGGACCCTATGGCGAGGACGTAAGGCTCACCTTGGCAAGGCGGCGGGCGCTAGGACGGCGCGGGCAGGTGGGGCAGCTTGGCAGCCCAGTAGGCGCCGCGGCCCGCAGCCAGTGCAATGGGGACCCTATGGCGAGGAAGTAAGGCTCACCTTGGCGAGACGGCGCGGGCAGGTGGGGCAGCTTGGCAGCCCAGTAGGCGCCGCGCCCGCAGCCAGTGCAATGGGGACCCTATGGCGAGGACGTAAGGCTCACCTTGGCGAGGCGGCGCGCGTCGGGCGGGCGCTAGGACGGCGCGGGCAGGTGGGGCAGCTTGGCGGCCCAGTAGGCGCCGCGCCCGCAGCCAGTGCAATGGGGACCCTATGGCGAGGACGTAAGGCTCACCTTGGCGAGGCGGCGCGCGTCGGGCGGCCGCTAGGACGGCGCGGGCAGGTGGGGCAGCTTGGCGGCCCAGTAGGCGCCGCGCCCGCCGCATCCCGCCCCGCTAACCCCGCTGACCCCGCTCGCTGAACCGCTCTCTTCCGATAATGCTGCTTGTAGTTTCGCTTCTGGAAAGATAACGGATGAAGGGTTACTGTAAGTAGATCTTCATTGAACAATATTACATCCATTNAAAGTACTACCCCCTCCCCCTATGCTTACGTACACATTTTGTTATAAATGTTTTTTATATTGTCATTTTTAAAATAGGAAAATTCATGAAAATATTAGGTTTAACTACAGGTTAGGTTTAGGAACAAAAAAATATAATCAGAAAAAAAGAACATAACAAACATAATTGATGCAATTAGCATCAATTATGCATCATCATAAACACAAATGATAACTTTAAATGCTTACAATACGTTTAGTATCCAAACAAAACACGCGCGCGGGAGGCCGGCCTCGCGTATAATAATACNTGGGGACCCTATGGCGAGGACGTAAGGCTCACCTTGGCGAGGCGGCGCGCGTCGGGCGGCCGCTAGGACGGCGCGGGCAGGTGGGGCAGCTTGGCGGCCCAGTAGGCGCCGCGCCCGCAGCCAGTGCAATGGGGACCCTATGGCGAGGACGTAAGGCTCACCTTGGCGAGGCGGCGCGCGTCGGGCGGCCGCTAGGACGGCGCGGGCAGGTGGGGCAGCTTGGCGGCCCAGTAGGCGCCGCGCCCGCAGCCAGTGCAATGGGGACCCTATGGCGAGGACGTAAGGCTCACCTTGGCGAGGCGGCGCGCGTCGGGCGGCCGCTAGGACGGCGCGGGCAGGTGGGGCAGCTTGGCGGCCCAGTAGGCGCCGCGCCCGCCGCATCCCGCCCCGCTAACCCCGCTGACCCCGCTCGCTGAACCGCTCTCTTCCGATAATGCTGCTTGTAGTTTCGCTTCTGGAAAGATAACGGATGAAGGGTTACTGTAAGTAGATCTTCATTGAACAATATTACATCCATTTATTCATTTTAAACACAGACATGTTTAGTAATCTTGTAGGAATTCAGTTATCAATATAATTATGATCATCAGCTACGTAGACCTTCCCCTAGGAAGGCCACAAAGCTCTCGCTTTTTCTTCTAGGTTCTGTCCTATCAACCAGAATAATTCATGATAAATTATTTCACTGATTTCATGAAAAGTGTGAATAAAAGATAGGGCAGTAGTACTCTATAGCCTCCTCTTCTTCATATTTTATTTCTTTCTTCTGCTTCTATTTTTGACATCACTTACATTACAAAAGCGTGGTTTTTTTTCTTTTTTTATACATGGGACAGAAGGCAAACGAGCAAAGGATCGCCTGATGGTAAGTGATTACTGCCACCCATCCATAAACATCCGCGGCTCCGGGGGAGTTACAGGTGCGTTTCGTATAATAAGTAAGTATCTTTTAAAAGTGCACCGTTTCCGTCTTTTTCTGATGAAAACCCTATCCGTAACTTACCAACCTTTGTAAATAACTTTATCTTTTATTAAGTACTGTTAATTATGAAAAATCTAAAACGTTAAAATAACGGTATAGTTGTGGCCAATGAGTTGCTGTCATAGTGACATTGACAATACGTCAATGTCACACGAGAATCAAACGTCAGAATAGAGGGACGCGCGGAGACGACTCCGCGCGCTTTTGTGCTAAGTGATGAATTGTATCTAAATTAAGGCAATATAATGTGAAAGATGAGTATCCAGTGTTTTATTTATGAGAATAGATCGACCGGCCTCTAATAGTACTCACTTGCGACTTGCGATGCGTTGAAGGTGACGGGCGTGCGAGCGAGAGGGGTGCGGAGAGAGCCGCCCCGCCCGCCGCCGCTGCCGCCCGCGCCCGCCGCGCCCCCCACCGCGCCCCCGCTCGTCTGTGGCCAAACAACATATAATAGTACAGTCACAGAATGAAAAGGTTCGTCAGCTTTCAAATTGATTCCTTCAACGAATCGCGAGCACATATTACCTTTTGAAACTATGTTACAGAATAATCTCGAGTTAGAAAAAATAATCCTTAACTGTTCGTCAGTAAAGTTCAAAATTATTCAGATCAAAGTTGTTTGACGATTTATCTTGTCAAGAAGATTATTATGATTGATAAACTAAAACCTTCTTGTTGGTTCAACCTGCCATTATTATTTCTATTAAATAAAAAAAAATATTGTCAATTGGTCAATGTCATTATTGCATTGCACTGATGGGATAGAAAAATAAACAAGCAAAACCATACGTTAGCAAACGTCATATATATTTAAATGTTAGCAGCACTGTTTTCTTGCACTGTTATGTTGGCAGGTTTGACTCTTACAGTACCTAGTGCAAGCGAAAACCGACACTAAGGTGACGAACCTTTTCATTCCGCGACTGTACAAGGGTACATAATACAATGAAAAACGATGACCCCTGCAGAAGTATAATGCTGCTTTTACACTATGCGGAAATTTACCGAGTCAAGTCAAAAAAACAGTAGAGTGAGGATGAATTATGAATGAATTTCATCCCCACTCTGTTTTTTTGACTTGACTCGGCAAATTTCCGCATAGTGTAAAAGCAGCATAAAACTGTGTCGCAGGGATCAACGCCCTCAACGCAAGTTTAAACAAATAGATAAAAGTTATAGTTTCTTTATAATAACAGACGGATTTTATATGCTTCTGTCTGGAGATCACGTAGATACGACCGAATACATTCTGCCCTTGGTAAGTACTTTAACATGTTCATAGCAATTTTCAGATTTGTTGTGATCTTTCAGCACACGTTGTACGTGGAATTTAAACAAGTTCTTATTCTGAATTGGCCCAACTAGGAATCGAACCTGTATCCCTAAGCACTATGACGACAAAGCGACGATGTATTGCCATCACACTGAGTCGCCAACATAAATGCCAATCTGGAACACCTACCTACATACATATTACCATTATTTTGTAGAATTGTAGTTCAATAAGGTAGTATCAAAATTGAAAATAGTTCAGTGGTAGAAGATACCAGCAAGTGGAAGGTCGTATATTCTAATCCCTTTTCCTAATATGATATCTTTTCCTATTGTAAAAAAATGTGACATAGTAGTCACTTAGAATGCTATTTATCTTGCCTTTCTATTCTACATAACATTCTTCATTCAATATTAATTCTTATGTTTAGTGTTTTTTAAGGCCTGATTTTTCAATCGTCAGATAACTTTTAACTGAAGAATAAGTTTGGCACTTTGACAGGTTTAGTATGGGAAATATGCCAAAGTGACAAACTTATTCTTCAGTTAAAAGTTATCCGACGATTGATAAATCAGCCCTAAATACTATAATGCTACAGCTTGACATAAATTGCAAGTTAATAGCATCAACTCAAACAAAAACAAAACCAACAGTTTTATATTTCTAACTACCATTGTTAATAAAAGGAAAACATTGCTTTTTTATGGCAAAAAGTATCATCCAACAAAAATCAAACCATGCATGCCCAAATTCAAATATTAAAACAAAAACTAATTACGCAGGCTGTTAAAGACATGCGTACGTTACTGTATTTAATACACTGATTAACAAAATACATGCATCCAGCTCCATTTTTTCTAAAAGGCCAAGAAAAAGGAGCAAAGGCCAAGCACAAGTTCGTAAAATACAGCTCAAAGGAAAAAACAGAAATAAGAATAATTTACAGATAGCATGACAGTTTGTTATCGGAATAGAGAAAAATAGAGAAAGAATGGGCATTTCGTTTAAAAGAAAAATCGGTCTCGTCCGTCGATCCTGAATGCCTAAGGAAATAAAATTAAATGCAACTTAAAGCAAAATAAACGGGACCGCTTGTGGATATCGATTATTATGAAGAAATTATAATAATAATTAACAAATTACTAAATCGAATATCGTTGCGATTGGGTTTAGAATCTAAATAACGTAAGGTTAAAATGTGTCTAAAATCTGTCCAGATGGGGTACCATTATGTAATGTGAATGATATTATTAAAATACATAGAACTTTAGATCCGATCCTCAAGTGGGATGATAACAAATTATCCGTACCTACCTATATTCGTTCGCTTGTTCAATTAAGGTTTAGATCAATAAAATTATTCGTGAGTCGTGTCAGTCTCCTATGGCGGCTATTAAATCTTCTGACTTAATTTGTAAAATAAACTAACATATTAGAATTAAGTGCATCTTTATGACACTATCATAATAATGACTAGGATTTCACTAGCTACAACAACCCACTTGATAGAAAAAGAACAAGAAGATAATACGAAATTCAAAATAAATTTAGCGTCTGCACTGAAAATTATAACCTTTTTTTTGGGAAAAAATGTATTAGATATGAAACCTAACCTAAAATTATAACCTAACCTAACCTAACCCATTCGCAACGCCACAAGCGGCCCCAAAACAAAAAAGAAGCGGTACCAACAAACCTATTTGTCTGTGCATTTAGCGTGGGCGAGTCGTTTGACGTGGTGCGCTATACTAACGTGGTTCTGCTCCTCGTCGTGGGGCGCGCGCGGAAGGCGCCGGCGCAGCCACGCGTGGCGCAGAGCCGCCGCTGGCGTTAGCCGCTTCTCTGGGTCCCACTCGAGGCATCTGGGAAGACAAGGGATAAAGGATTATACAATGGAAGTCTACTCGTCATCATCATCACTTCAGTCACAGGACGTTCACTGTTGAATATAGGCCTATCCCAATAATTTCCATTTCGCTCGGTTGGTAGCGGCCTGCATCCAGTGCGTTCCTGCTACCTGTATGAAGGTGTCGGGCCTTATGGGTGGATCCCAATCTGCGTTTACTGGTACGTAGCGAGGCACTCCAGAACCTCGCTGCCCTATCGGCAGTCAGTTCTGCGTACTATAAGCCCTGCACATTCTGCTACTTCAGCTTCGTCGGGCTCCGAAGGTTCTCCTCATTTCTGATTTGATCTCGTAAAGTAAAACCGAGCATAGCCCTTACCAAAGCACGCTGAGCAACTTTGAGCTACGGACGTAGCACACATTAAGAAGGACTAGACTGCAACTTAATCTCAACTACTATACCAACAATAAAAAAAAATGGTTTTCTTTTACCGCAGCGCAGGGCGCCTAGCGGTCAAGGCGACTCGCCGCGCCACTGCGTCATTGAGTGGTGAAATATTACTCCTTTTCTAAATTTGGAGAACAACTAATAATTAATTACTCTAAAGACATGATACATAAAGTTTAATACTAACCGTCTAATGAAATCAATAAAGAACTTATCTTGACAGCCCTTGAGGGCTGTCACAAAGCTCTTGGATCCTGGCGGACCTCGTGGCTTCCCTCTCCTCGACATTCCTGAAATATAAAAAGGATACATGTTAAAAATACATTAATTAATAATAAACAATAGTAAAAGTAGACGAGAGAACGATGGGCACGGGTTCTAGAATCTTTGAGATGTTTTTTTAAACACATTCGTTTTTCGGCCAATATTTTGACATTAGAAACTCTACACTACACTGCTGTGTTGCTTTAATTTACGTTATTCACGTAAACATTTCCAGTTTGAATGTAAAAAATAACAGTAGCTTATTTTTTTAGTCTAATTACAGCGCAATTTACTTTTTCTAATCGTCCATATAGCGATATAAATCTATTTTCGATTATAATTTTTTTATAAAACCATAAGACAGCAAGGAAATACATTTCTCCGCATTTTTAAAGAAAATGACAAATGTAGGTACTCATTGTTCTTCAGATCTTTGATTGTAATTACTTCAATTAAATAAATTGAATTAATAATTATTGAGATGGAATACAATAGCATCATGAAGTAGGAATAGGAAAAGAGTCTAGAATACGGATGTGTCACTTTTTACCCGACTGCGCAAGAAGGAGGGTAATGTTTTAAGGCATATAATTGCGTTAAATGCAACGCCATCTTTTTGTTTTCTCCGTGTTTTAGTTTATGTACCTACCTAATCTTAAAATATTTTATTTTGATCTAGATTATTTTTAACTCAATTTCTTTTAATGGTTCAAAACATGTCACTTTGTTAACAAAACCAGAGTTCAGTTTATACTAGAAGTTAATGAATGCGAGTTTATTTTAGCTAAAAGTAACATGCAGAGTAATTTAGAGTGTGGGCTTTTTTAATGGGATGACAAACTAGATGGGATTTACCAAACGATTGCGTATCAAATTGGCTGGGGCCCAAGAAGATCAGACGGTTTAGCGACAATCTAGTAAACGCGGTATCTTTTACAATGTTTTCACAATCATAGAGGTTGGTAAGATTTATTTATTTATTTATTTATTTGTAATAGGTATACAAACAAGATTGGCGTAAATCTATAATCAGTTAAGTGTCAGTTTACATAAAATTAACTATTCTAGATGTCATGTCTTACTATAGATTTATTACATTTCCGCACATAAACAATTTTATAGAGATAATAAATTGGTCTTTGGATTGGTATTAAGTCTGGTAAGAAAATTTAAGGGTAAATGGGAGGAAATGATTTTTTACGGAAAGCCCATCATTTCTTATGTTATTTATGAAATCAAAATCAAATGTTTAAATTCATTCGATTGCACACCATGCTGAAAAAGTGGTGGGCGGGTTTTTTGGAATCTAAAATATTCAGTAGAATTGTCCTATTACGTAGGAAGCTTTTGCGTCTGTCTGACAAGCTTTCAAAAAAAGCTTCTGATTCAGATGGCGGGGCGTAGAACCCAGTCTGACGAAAAGTTAAAATTTATAGATATTGCAGCATGTCGTTTGGAATCTCTCTGATTCATACTTTCAGTCATTGCACATTGCAACGTAACGTTTTGAATGTAGGCGAGTGGTTTTGTAAATATTTTGAAGGGTTATTTATAATGATGAGGGCATGAGGGAAGACTCGCGATAACACACATATTCCGATGATTTTAAGCTTAAAATTCTAGACTTTTTCCATTTATAGTTCAAGAGATGTATGAATATAACAGCATGAATTACTGAACACTAGCTACTTACGAATATTTGTAAACAAACCATACGAAACCATAATTAAACAACGAAAAAAGCAGCTTTAATATACCTACTCTTCTCTACATAGATTTATTAGAGAGAGATTAGAGATTTAACCACTAGACTCGTAAGATTTATTCTTCAAGTGGTATAGAAGTTATTCTTCGAATTAGTCTGTTACTTTTAAGCAAGTTAATTTCAGCCTTTTCAACCAACTTCATAATCGTCGATCCATCAAGCAAGAGACGTAAGTGTCCACTCGAGCTGTTTACTACCTTCACCTTTCATGGGTTCTATGACGGATATAGCTGGTCTGTTGCAGGTTTGTGTTATTCATTAATTTTTTCTTCTGTCGATCTATTTTTTTCCCATTAATCCTATACATTTATACATACTAGATACGAGTAGTTATTGACCCAATCATTTCCAATCTACCGAGTAGCTAGAATCATTTACGTCTGACTGACATTAATGTATTTTCGAAGTAAGTATGTGTACAATGAACCATATGATTTGCATACAATTTCCTAGTTTCCAATCTATAATTTATTGGTTTGCTTCGTAGAAAGATTTTTGGCAAGTTCCTCGAAGGGACACCATATATCTTCACAGATTCACCCACGTCCATGTTAATGTTTTCCTTGTGCGCGATTTTTTGCAGGATATCAGATGTGAGTTATAATTAATTATTGTTTTGGAAGGCGATTCTTTTGTATGGTAATTTGGGGGTAAAGGACGGGGTTTTGCTTTTATGAGTGAGGTAATTGATCAATTTAGAAGTTTATTTAAATTACATATTTCGATTCGTTTAGCTACGTAATAATATGGAATTTAACATTATTATTGGGGTATCTTCAATGAATTTTTACTACACAATTTAAAAACAAACTACAAATCTATAGAGCAAAACGATTTTGATTAGATTTTCTAATGCAATCAATAATGAATGACTTCACTATTTATTTACTTAACCAACTCAATAGACTAACTTTTTAGCAATTTCCAAGCAATTAAAAAATTAAAAGGAACTAAAAAAGAAATAATTGATTGAGAAGAAATTGACTTTTGAGACCAGAATAATGTGCATTTTTAGAAACTTTATGCTTTGGAGTTATTGATGTTGGTCACACCAATTCGCGCCAAAAATTAAGGTCCTGTCACTAGCCAGTGCAGCAATGGAAAGAAAGAACATTTATTACGATGAACATAACTTAGTTAAGACGAAAGAAGGTATAATATGGAAAGAAAGTCAGAAATAGCACATTACATGGAAATAAAAAGTGAACTGAGCAGTGCCACCCTGTCGCGACAGCGATGCCCATCGCAATGGGACCCCACTCAGAAAATGCCGTGGCTCACTGAAAGGAAGGCCACGACGCTGGTTTTCAGTGTGCCCCATGCCGAGTGGCGCCGCGAAATTAAGGACACCTTCATTGTTGTGATAATAAAGTTTTTCTACCAACCTCCACTTAAAACAGTAGTGCCATCGGCCAGCGTGGTGGCCGTGCAATACCGCGGAAGCCCTTTGCTGCTGATGAAGTTCTTGGAGCGCTTGCCCTGCTCGATCAGCTTCTGAGGAGGCATGCCGAGCAGCTCGATGATGCAGGCCATCTGGTCCGCCTCATCCTCGCCGGGAAGTAGTGGGAAACCTGGAAAGTTGGGTGAATTCAAAGGACATCTTCTGTTTTGGGGTAATTTTACCCTTCGGAATGTGTAACCTTAAATCAAATCAAATCATTTATTTACTTTCAGATAAGGTAGAATAGATGGTAAAAAAATTAAAAACGTCTCGCCATGGTATGGCATGTAAAATTAATAAGTAGATAATTTAGTAAAAAGGTGCTAGTTGGTGTAGTGATGGATCAATCAATGATGATGATAAAAGATTTAACGACCTACTATTGTCTGATAATTAGGTGAAGTGAGAAAGAAAGTTAATTATATGTAGTACCTAGTCTTACCGATGCTCATTAATTTAAGTGTGAGTTTGTCTATGCTCCCAATAAGTCACTTCTTCACAGCTGTTTCTATCAAAGTTGTACGGGACCAGCTTCCAGTAAACTGTTATCTCTATGTAGCTAGGATCTACAGCTTGACCGCACTTATAAAACCAATGAAGTGAAGTCTCGAGGAAAGTCAAAGAGTCATAGAATCCGCAACGAGATTATTCACAAGTTTATTTCTATTAGGAAGATCCAATAGGATTCATAGGAGCCTGGTTTCGCTTTTGCAAAGGTCCTCATAATCAAGAGCAGTAACCAAATATAAAGATATGTTTACCTGTGAGTAGTTCCGCAAGGATGCATCCCAGGGACCACATGTCGATGGGCATCCCGTACCGGGCGCCCATCATCACCTCGGGCGCGCGGTAGAACCTCGACTGGATGTACGTGTACACCCGCTGGTGCTCGTAGCACGAGCTGCCGAAGTCTATGACCTGGAATAGAAGAGGTGGAGGGTCAGATTCTCTTACTGGTAAGGCAATAAAGATGAGGAAATGGAAAATAAAGTCATGCATCAAGAGAAGAACTTAAAGCACTTTTTAGCAGTGCAGCAGTTACGGTTTTCTTACGAATTAAAGTTTTGACATTACTCTCGCAACTAGACTATTATTATTTTTATTTATAACTAGCTTTCCGCCCGCGGCTTCGCCCGCGTGGAATTTTGTCTGTCACAGAAAAACTTTATCGCGTGCGTCCCTGTTTCAAAAACCGGGATAAAAACTATCCTATGTTCTTTCCCGGGACTCAAACTATCTCTATGCCAAATTTCATCAAAATCGGTTGCGAGGTTTAAGCGGGAAAGCGTAACAGACAGACAGACAGACAGACAGACAGACAGAGTTACTTTCGCATTTATAATATTAGTTGGGATAAGAGAGTTACTTCATTTTTGTATTTTTTTATGGTAGTGACTGCACCAGACAGTCTGCCCACAGAGAGAAACCGTGCGGAGAGCTGTATCCGCCTCTACAACCGATGTGAAAAACGCCTCAACGTGACCACTAACCGCTCTGCCAATAGCGAAACGAATAAGATGATGGTAGAGGATCATATTGCAAAAGAGCTTCAATCTACACTTTATTTAGTCCTTACACAGAAACTCTAAAATGAAACAAACGTGCATTCTTCAGAAACGAGTTCTGAGCATCATCGTAAACAATATTTATAGTTAACAAGCCAAGACAAATGATCTGGAAGATTCTAAATTTCCCCGTAGCAAAACAAAAATGGAGGAAACAAACGTATAAACTGGTACATGAAAGGGCCTGTACAAAGAAAGATGAACATGATTTTTGTCTCCGGTTGTTTTAAGTCATTTTGTTAAGTAAAACCGTATTTTTCAGATGTTATGCAAGCCATAATATAATCTGGGAATCATACAAAATCGATTCATTTAATCTTCATCAAATTATAATACAGGACCTTTTAATTTTTCAATAAATTAAAATTCATATAGGCGGGAGCAAGGTTTAAAAAACCGAAAAGATTACATTAATGGCGATTTACAGATAACGATAATATATTAAGATAAAAAAACACTGAGGTTGTATATTGCAACAAAAATGTAAAGGTTGATATGCCGGCGACTGTATACCTGAAGTAATGATATTCTTACATAACCTTCATTATACAGTTATACTTCGGTCATTATAGTCTTATCTAAAAGTTAAATCATCATCATTCAAGCTTCATATGCACATCATAATTAAGCTTCTTACTGTCCTTTATTAGAAGGTCATCCGTCCTACGAGCATGAATTAATCTCTCTCAAGTATAACCTCGCTACTTCCTCAAATTGTTTGCGCTATCTTCCTATTTTATTGGGCTTCAGTATATTTCAGGTTCAGGTAATACTGTATGAAACTTCACGACTAGTACAACTATAGTGTCACTAGAAGTAAAGTCTGATTTATTTATTTATTTATTTATTTATTTATTTAAAATAGGTACACAAACAGATCACTGTCAATTATATAGCCATGAAATTAACAAAATATTAAATAACTAAACAGAGATCCAAAATCAGCGTACACAACATGCTTAGTATTAAATAAAGCTACTTATATTAAGACAAATGTAAATATATATAAAAATAGGATAAACATTGGATAGGGTCGAGGACGATTATTTATTTTTAAAGATTTCTGTTACCAATCTCTTGTACCGGGGAAAACTGCTATTAAATATGTCAATGTTTCCACCACTGCGAACTACCTCGTTGTATGAGCGACACATTCTCACAACGGGATTGAAAAAGGAGGTGTTATTTTTATATACCTGTAGGGAAAATATGTTTGGGTTACGGGATCTAAACCTGATGTTGAAATTTAGTGAAGACAGCAAGTTTGGAGCATCAATAGACGAGTGCACTATTTTGTGAAGACAGAGTAAGTCATATCTGCTTCGACGAGTTTGCAAAGAGACCATATTAAACTTAGAAAGTCTATCACTGTACTGCTTAAGCGATCGGCCCATGCCGTACCTATATGTTATATACCTCAGACATCTCTTCTGTACCTTTTCAATGGTATTAATGTGGACATTGTAGTAAGGGGACCATATCGGACAGCAATACTCTACTCTATGATACATATCTTCAAAGCCAACAAGTAAGTAGTTAAATCTTACAGTTATAGTTCCCTATTTACAATCATATTTGAAACTTCTTCATTCTGACTCTAATGCATACTTTGTCACATTTTAATTACGGGCCGGATCCCCTTTTCACTCATAAAGAAAACTTATTTACGCCCGTATTCACAAACTTACCTACTAGGCCGTATTTACTATGTCTCACAGTGCGCGTGGATGCCCAGGGTAGCACACGAACCAATCACATAGCCATATTCAACGCTGTGCGTTCGATTTGCTGCTTCACTTAAGCAAGCATCGTTTGTGAATACGTCCGTCTGTCTCTAATGCGTCCTTTGACATATTTTAATTACAGGTCGGATCCCCATTTTACTCTAAACATAACTTATTTGTTTCTGAAAATACTGTTACGTATTTTCTTCGTACTATTGTTATAGTTATAGTAATGATATACCTTAACCGTGTTATTCTCGGTGTTTACGATACCAAAACCGATTTAGATCAACTCGATTAACGTAAACAAATCGATCCCGGCAGGATGTTCCCAGGATCTGCTAAAACCCTGGAATATACTAACATAAATAAAGCCAAAGAAAAACAGAAGAGCGTCTTGGTTGTGTCATATAAAGAAATGTTATTAAAATATAAAAGATTGTAAGAACTATACTTGTATTTACAAATAAATTGTCAGTCAAAGTTGTTGTTTTTAAAAGTTATTTGTGGATGTGTTTTGATATTTAACAATGATAAAATATTAGAATTATATTGTTGTAATGAAACAAACAATGATCGTAAGTTTTTTAAGACGATCAAACGCTCTACAAAAATAGGACGAAATAAGACAATTCCATAGAAATAAAGCTAAATGCTCCTATGACAGCCGATTCAAAATGAAACCTAGATATCATTTTTTTAAAAAGATGACAATTCTTTTAACAACAACTTTAATTTTTATAACATGGCTTTTGCTCTTTTTCTTTTCCTAACAAACTTTTCTAGCTTAATCCACCATATCAAATCTTAGAACGATACAAGCCATAGTAATGGCTGCCCACTTCCATAGTTCCGAGTACATGACGCACGTCCGTTCCGATGGGCCATTGTGCGCGTGCGCCGGTAACCATAACAAACGGCATTGTCTTCGTCAATCGCAGATTTTACGACTGTTTTTGAAGGTGCAAGGCCTTATCGGAAAAAGGAGGTGACATAAGTAGTTGTAGTAAGAAAGATAAGAAAAACTTTATAACTAAAACAAAAGTTGCAGTACACATACATACATAATATAACATACATTTTTTTTTAAATATACTGAAGAGGTCAGCAAAAATCGCGTCATGACGTTGGTGTCAAGCTGGTTTTTAGTAAGGATTTTTATGGCGAAATGCATTACTGTTTGAAGGCTTTTTCTTTTAAATATTTAAAAATCTGGACATACATATTCACCATAAGTCTAAATTCACATAAACTGAACTGAAAATTATTTTAATAAAATAGAAATTAGGTTTAATAAGAACTCTGGATATTTGGCAATTCTAGAAATGACTCTTTTAAAAACCCCAATTTTAAATAAGACACATTTCAACGCATTAATATAGCAATTAGTATTTTTCAGCGAAAATCCAAGCCGGCCGGGCCAAGAGGACAACTAATTCGAAAAGTCAACGAACCGCACACCGAATCTAATATTGCAAGTTTAAAATTTCCTAAGAAAATCGTCTATTACAAAAACCAGCCAAATGATTCGGGGAAGCGCCATCATTGGCGTAGACCCAATGACTCGACTCTATGACTTAATAACGTCGTCAATGTAGGATTGTATTTATTATTTTAAGAGTTAAAAGCTCATAAAGTTTGGCAGCGGTTACGATTAATGACTAACAATTGAGATAGATATCAACACCTCAACAAGCACACATCATTTCATTTAATTGCTCAAATGATAGTGGTGACTTATGATTAAAATTCATAGGAAAAGCATTATGATTTTATACATTAGTAGTCACTCTATTTGGTTGAGCTGCCAATCAAAATAATGTACTAATGACTCCTCTATTCTTTTTTATTTACTCACCATTTACTTTGTGTTCCAATCTATCTGCTCAAGCACATTTTAATAGTCGTAGGAAAACATTCAAGAACATTCACTTGTTCCAAAAGACCGCAACCGCGAAATTTTTTCGATAAAAATGTGAACGATGTCACGTCGCCAATACGCCAACGTTGGGCCAAACGTCACTAGTTGGCAAGTATCCTCTCCAACTAATTATCCATAACCACTGTATCGAAAGACAGGTTCGAGGAAACTCTCTTGGCAGACATCATTGAGGTAATTAGGTAAATACTTCGACTAAGTCGGTAAATCTTTCTACAACTTTACCGTTAGAATTACTACATGTCGTGATGGGTACAATGTAACTCTTGTGTTACAATGTAACAGGCTAAGGGAATGCTAAAGTTGTGAACTTTATGTCTAAAGCATAACCGGCTGTATGCCGAGATTCCAGGCAACAAATCTAAAGCCATGTGCCTCACGGCATACGAGAGGTTAAAGATCAATCTATGAACTGTATAGTACCTATAGTCAAAACTTAGTATATTTGGACGAACATGGGGGAAGAAACAGGGAGAAACCTTTACCCAGCAATGGGCACATATCGCCAATTAAAAAACTATTAAACTTATCGTATGGCTTGTAAACTAAAGTTGGGTTTTTATTGGCGGTCAAGCTGTAGATCCTGGCTACACAGGAGTTGCAGCGGTGGGAACGAAAGGCGGGAATGGACGCGTTTGTACACTACAACTATGTATCGAAGTTCTACGTATTTACGGTCTTTGAGGGCAC